AGAGAGAGAGAGAGAGAGAGAGAGAGAGAGAGAGAGAGAGAGAGAGAGAGAGAGAGAGAGAGAGAGAGAGAGAGAGAGGGAGGGAGACTGTGGCAAAGGCCTGCTGATGGCCCCCACTCCCACCGTGCCTCCTGCCCTGGGTTGGTGCCGCCGCCGCCCCCTCCTGCCATGTTTCCCCCATCTCCCTGCCATCAGTCTGCACCTCTTCCCCACCCCCATCTCTACCCTAGGGCACGAAATGAGGACTGAAGGTCATGAAAGAGGATGAACGACGAGCGGGAGGGAAAGAAGGAGGGAGGGAGGGAGCCAGAGATGGAGGAGGTGGTGCACTGGGAAAGAGTAAGAACTTTCCTCTATGCAAAGAAATCGTCAAAGCTCATGAAAAGATGGTGGAACACTAGGGGGAGAGGGGTGATGAAAGGAGGATGAGGAGGATGGGCTTTTCCCCCTTTGGCCATGGGTATTCCTGTGTTTGGGGCTGGGGATTATGAACGGGATGGTTGGAGGGAGGACAAAGAGCAGTGGGGAGTTCACCTTCCAGTATGGACATGTGCTCAACTGCATGCACACACACCTCATATGAAAAGGACACATGTGCTCAACTGCATGCACACAGCAGGCCTTTGCCACAGTTTCTTTTTCGACAGTGTGTTATGTCTTTATGGATGATTCGATGCATTCTTGCATTGGGGGAAGACTTCTTCCACATCATAGGAAAAAGAGGGATAACAACTTCTCAGTGTTCCCACAGAAAATCACAAATGGTAAGTATAATCAACTACTGCAGCAAATGGGAAAAAGAAAGCCCTTCTTCTTTGGCATTCCCTCCTGTTTCTTGCGAGCGAAGCTGCAACAGGTCATCTAGTGAAATATAAGAACTGAAATCAGGCTGAAACACGAACTGTTAATGTATGGAGGGATTGCCTCTGATATACTGTCTCCACCTGAATAGAATGCCAGGTGATTAAAGCCGTATTTGGTGCCAGACATGGCAATAATGACGGGGCATTTGATTTGGGTGAAGACGGTAGTTCGACTGGAACTTTCCACCACCTCTTGCAGGGCTAAGAAATTACCTATCTAACAGCGCCTGATACACGCTCCTGAAAGGATTTTCAAATTTTCACTAATTTTGCTATGGTCGAACGGTTCTAACTTTTAACCAACTGCTTCACTGGACAAAAAGGTAATCCATTAGACTGTATATACTATAGTAACTATATACATTTGGGCTGGTCCCTAGTGAACCCTGCCTGGTCCAGATACAATCCGTTAGACTGTATATACTATATACATTGCTACACTCGTATCATCACACTCACACCGTGCCACGTCTCGCCTGGTCCAGATACAATCCTCTGAGGTGTGTGCTGCAGGGCCCCTGGGGTAGCATTCTTGTGGACGCAGCAGGGTGTGTAGCAAACAGTGTTAGTTCGGTGGCTGAGCGTTTGAATGATTGAATCAGCTTTAGAGTTACAATGCCAGGACGGTGTTTGTTCATGCTTGGAAGGCATAAACCACGCTCACACCCTGCCACGTCCCTCCTGGTCCAGATACAGAGTGCTTATATGGACTGCAGAGCCTTGGCAAATACGGATTTCAAGATGCAGCCACTCCTATGATGCAAGGAATTATTGAGAGCGCCCAGGCCACAGATCTCAATTGCAGGGCGGCTCCAACTCTGCCACACCATGTCAATCTGGCCCAGGGCCCCTGGGGTAGCATGCTTGTGGACGCAGCAGGGTGTGTGTCAAATGCTTTTAGTTGGGTGGCTGAGTGGTTGTAGTAGTTTTGTGGTTGATTGTGTTGAATTAGCTTTAAAAGTTCACAATGTGCGAGGAATGAGCCCTCGCAGGGCCTTACCAGACATTCACATGGTCTGGGCTGAGGCCCTCAACAAGTCCCGTGCCCGCCCTAAGTGAAGGCGGGCCTGAATATTCACCAGAGGCCAAAATTTGACATTTTCCATATGTGGGTACTCAGGCAGTTGCAGCATGCCAGTTGGTTGAGTGGAATCGTGAGCCTCCCTGTGCTGCGTCGTACAGTTCGGCCCAGGCCTTGGTAGTTGCGCCTGGGCACACATACACACAATGCAAGGCAGATACATCACGAATTGGCTACGGGCCTATGGAAAAGCAGCATTCTCGAGGTACGTACAGCTCAAGTCTAAAAATATTGGTCGTGCCCAACTGTAAAGGGCCCAGGCCCTCAACTGCACAGCTGGGCCTGGGAGCAGGCACTGGGGCCTGACCGGAAGCTGCTACTGGAAGCTTCCCAGCTAGGCCACATGCAGCCAAACAGAGGCAGCCACTTTCATATAGGGAAGGAGGCAGCCAGAGCCAGGCATTCTAGCCCATGCAGGCAATGCGGTCACGCTGCTGCGCTGCTGAGTTAGAGGCTGCAAGCTGTGTTGAGGCCAGGGCGCATACGGGCGCTTGAGAGGTGAGAGGGGCGCTGCTGGGCAGCGGAGCGCGAGCAGCCATAGCCAGGCTGCAGGGCGCTAGGGGGTAAGGGGCCGATCGGTGGTCTTCAGGAAGGAGGCAAGTGTGGGTGGTCAGGGTCTGATGAGGGGAGACGAGATACGTACCTGGTACATGAGGGAGGTCAGCTATGGTGTTGAAGTCATGTACATTGGTCTTCAAGAGTCGAAGTGAGTCTGTTGCGTGAATGCTGATGTAGGTAGGATAGGCAAGTAGTGTAGGCTGGGCGCTGGGCGCCAGACAAAGAGGAGCAACATTGGATACTGCGTTTGTGCGGCCCGAGGGCTTGAACATTGGCTCATGACTTCATTGTATTGCTCTTATTTGGATGGAATCTCGGTGCATTTGTGCTCTCTGCTTGTACACGACTACGACATCTGTGTGATTTCGCAACTTGGCTTTCTGTATATCGTTCCCACTCTCATTCCTTGCAAATGCGAGGACTGTGTTTGTTCATGCCTGGAAAGCATAAACCACGCTGCAGTAATGGCCAGGTTCATGCTCTTCAAGCATGATTATAACACGACTGGGGCCTGGTCCCTAGTGAACCCAGACTAAAATGCCACGTCTCTGTTTGTTGTGGCTGTTTCAGTATCGAATGCATCCTGAGATCTGTCGCTTCCCTTCCTCCTACTTTTATGGAGGTCAGCTGGTGACGGGGGAGACAGTCAGCATATCTTCACGAACGGCACCCTTTCATGAGCGGAGGTGTTTTGGTCCATACATGTTCTTCGACGTTGTGGAGGGAAGAGAGAGGACAAGTGCATCACAGTCAATCTGGAACGATGCAGAAATCGATCTTGCAATTGAGTTGTTCTCAACACTCCAGAAATGGTATGGAAACTGCCAGCTTGAACGCTGATGTTTGGAATTTCCTCTCTTATGTTTTTCACAAATGGGGGCAACCCGATGAACAAAAATGAACCTTCAGATGTGACAATTGGCGGCCATGTCTAGGTCTGTACCATTTAACTGATAGAAGCATTGCTTTTATCACTAGTCTCGTGCTTCATTATTTGACAATCTGATTGGTCTTATCAAGTGGCCTCTTTTAGGGGTCGTCATTCGTTTTACTTATTCCTGACTAGTCTGCCTTTTGTAGCTTTGCTTGTACTAAAGAAACTATCAAGAACCAGCTGTGTCCATATGTGAGTGAGATAGAGAGGGGCGGGGGGGGGGGGGGAGGTGGAAGAGGGAGATGGAGACAGTGCAATGTGCTGGGGTGCTGTCTCTTATACACATCTAGATGTGTATAAGAGACAGCGTTTAAACCGTTCAATTTTTCAACGGGAAATCGCAGGTTCAATGAGCACTTTGTTTCACAGCTCTCGCTCACTCTGTGTGTGTGTGTGTGTGCATCTTTCAAATTGCAATGCAATCGGCTAGTGGGTGTCTGAGTGTGGGTGTGGGTGAATGTGGCATTCAAATTGGCAATCCAGTTGACTGAGTTACAGCTCTGAGTGTGCCTTGCGAGGCGGATGTGCACCACAAGGTGTATGCTTTTGCAAACTATTCGACGAACAGGACTTGCCATTGAAATTCCCCCTGCCTCTCTACCTCCTGCAGAACTCTGGAGTCTGAACATATATTGCAAAAAAGAAAGAGAGAGGTGGGCTGCTACAGCTGCCTGCGCCCATCCTCCAACTCGCATTGCCACACGAGTCCGGCCACCACCGTCCACCATCATCTCCACGCATCTGCCCCCCCCCCCAAACACACACACACACAGAGAGNTGTGTGTGTGTGTGTGTGTGTGTGTGTGTGTGTGAGAGAGAGAGAGAGAGAGAGAGAGAGAGAGAGAGAGAGAGAGAGAGAGAGAGAGAGAAGAGGAGAGAGCAAATCGAGCATGGTTAATCCCTTTGAAGTATGCAGTCTTGTTCAAAATTACACGAAGTGGACAAGTCTTTGATGTGTGTGCTTTGACAGAGAGATATGGTGGAACTGCAGGCAGAGCTGCATGGGTCTCAGCAAATACCCAGTCATTTGACATACCGTCGTGTGCATTGTGAGCTATGTGGCTGGGCGACTGGATGTACATTGACTTTGTATGTTGTCATGAAGTATTTTCCGTTGCATGTGCAGTTGCGTTGCTCATTGTCTATTCATTCATTCAATTCAGCTTGTGTGTGATGAAACAGGATTCGGGTCCTTGCGTTGCTCATTGTCTATTCATTCATTCAATTCAGCTTGTGTGTGATAAAACAGGATTAGGGTCCAGCATATTGTTAAGTTTGTACTACTTTGTTGCAATTTTCTGAACCAGACAGCTAGATTGTCTCTGTGTGCAACCTTTGTCGTAACAGCCATCCTTCCCCTATCCCAAGTTTCCAAACAATTTAAGTAAGACAAACAGACTACTTTCTTGACTTTAATTAAACCACTAGTACCTTTGACGGTTTGGGAAAATTCAAAATAGGTAAACCTGGCAGTTTTCCCAAACTCCTAAAAAGTCAGGGGCTGGGCCCGACGACGGCGCCGTTGATAAATCTCATTGGCGGGCCGTCGTTTCGTTTCGACCTCCTAAAATACCGGAGGCCCACCCGAGGCTCCCTATTTTCACAACCGTCGAAGGTACTAGTGGTTTAACAGAAAAAGAACAACAATTATGTTTGATTCAGTTTATTTCAATGTTGTTATTTGTTTCTTTGATTGCTGGAAGTTCTTCAAAGGTATGAAAAGCTGGAGGACTTTGTAGTAAGTTTGTACCCATCCATTCAAGTGTAGTTGGATTTGGCTCAACTGCCCAAGGTGCTTGCAGAGCGCGCACTCCAAACCTGGGCATCATTGGCAAGGAACCGTTGTCTGGTCTCGTGATGAGCTCTTGCTACCGCAACCCTTAATCCAATGCTGGTTGGTGGCCACCCCAGGCCTTCGCCAACCCGCCACTGGAGCGACCTGCGCCCCCTTGTATAACTGTGCAATCTGAGCAAGGCATTCGAGGCAATGGTGGTTGTTTAAGAGTTCAAAAGCCGTTGAACATGTAAGTACTGGAGCTAACGCCCTTTTCTTTTGAAGTCAACCCAAGACGCAAGGAAATGAGAAGCTATGTGGAGTCACTTGGGGGTATTTCAAATTGAAAGGCGTGCTCTAAAAATGAAACCACACCATTTGTTGTTGGTGTCCCTGCAATGGAGGGAGACCTGCAGGTTTAGGATCTTCATGCTATCCAAACGAATGATAGATTTCTTTCAAAATTTCCAGTACTGCAAACCTGGGCCTTTTCTGTTCGGTTGTACACAGAAAATGAAAGTGGTGAGGACCATATTACTTGGCCATGCTGCGATGAACCAGAATGAATCAAACTGTACACCATGACCTGAGCTGTCCTTCTGGTGTTGGGGGGGTGAGCGTATTTCAACTTGAATGCTCTGAATATGACACCAGTTCAAACCACACTATTTCTTGATGGCTAACAGCAGTGGAGAGAGACTGCAAGTTTCCCACTGTGAGGATCTCCAGGTTATCCGGAAGAATGATAGACTTGTTTCTAGTATTGCGAACCTGGGTGCTTTCCTGTTGTTGTTTTTTTTTCCTTCAAGAAAAACTGTTTAACAGCTTCAGCTATCCTCAGGGAAACTTTGGTGGGAACCAGCTACCAGACGGTTCAATTATCTTTCGACCCTATACCCAAGTCCGACGAATGATTTGTGTGTCAGTATCTCTGCGATCCTCCACCAGAGCTTACTCTGGCCTCGCCCAACCTAGGGTGCTTTCTGTTTGGCGATGCACAGAAAATGAAAGTGTGAGGACCATCTTACTTGGCAGCTATGCTGCAAATAAAGCGAACTGTGTACCATGACCTGATCTGTCCTTTTTGTGTTGTGGAAGTAGGGGGCGGCGGTGAGGAGGGAAGGGTGCGGTGTTGTATCTCCGATGAAGTGGAGAGAGGCTGCAGGTTTTCCAGTGTGAGGATCACTGTGCTATGCGCAAGAATGATGGACTTGCTTCCAGTGCTTGTTAACCTGGGTGCTTTTGAAAACTTGTACATACACAAGAAAATGGAAGTGTTGGTTATGCTGTGACAAACCAGAACTGTATGCTATGACCTGACGTGTGCTTTTTGTGTTGTGGCAGTGTCACTTCTAGTATTCGTTGAGCTTTGCAACCATTTTCATCTTGCATCATTGGGTGAAACGAACACTTACAGAGGAGTGTACTGTGGGGGGATGCAGGTTTCCAGACGAAATGAGGCCGGGTAGAGTTGGCGTTATCACAATGTACAGGCAGCAGCTCCAGATACTGCGGGACCGATTCGCACGAGCGTTTGGACAAAATATAGCACAGGAAGTGGAATTCAATACTGTGGACGGTTTCCAGGGGCGTGAAGTAGATATCCTTATTGTGTCTACAGTGAGGGCACACCCACAATCCAGCAGCCGGGAGGCACTTGCAGGGAATCCCCCGGGAACGGAGGAGCGGCGGTCGATCGGGTTTGTCGCAGATGTGAGGCGAATGAATGTTGCGCTCACACGACCACGCTTCTCGCTCTGGATTCTGGGACACGCGACCACCCTGCAGGCAGGAGCTCCATTGTGGGCAGCCCTGATTGAGGATGCCCGGAGGAGGGACTGTTTCTTGACAGCTAGGAGACCCTACAATGGTGTATTCTCAGCTGCTTCTTGGTGCACTTCAGGTGGTGCAGGAAGGACCGTTGCAGGGGGTAGCAAGGCTGGGGAAGAATGTTTGCAGCGTAATGGCAGCTTTGCAAGGATGCCTAGAAGAGGAGATGGAGAAGGCCCACGCCATCACCCAAAAGATGCAGGCTTGCCTACTGGCGACTCTGGTAGAGAAGAGCTCGATCCCACGAGGTGGAAGTCTACCGTAGATGGGGGGATGACAACCGGTCCATCTGGGGCAGGTAAGCGCAGTCAGTGTGCAGCAGAGGAGTTTTCGACAGAAGAGCCTCACAGAAAAGCCAGAAGAAAGGATAACGACAGAAGCGTGAATCAAAGGAAGGGCCAAGATGGGAGTGAGTGTGATACGAGGGAGGAATCAGGAAAAGCAGTTGACGCGACTCTTCGACAGAAAGAAACAAAGGAACGTGGAGAAGGAAGTGGAAACAAAGAAAAGGGGAGCAACAGGGAACGATCAACAGAGGGTGAGAAAGCAAGGTGTGTGCGAGAGGAGACTGGCAAGGGCTGTCCGAAGACGAGCGATCACCTGAGAAGTCCTGCGACATGTAACACAGAGAATGATACCGAGAGTGGAAGAGTGATTCGGGATGGGGTGGCTGAAGGTGAAGGTCGAAGCGGCAGTGGTCAACGTTCCCCTACCCGGTTGGATGGGGTGGCGAACAGTGCTCCATCAAGGATGAGGAGGGGTAATGATGCGGGTTTGGAAGGACCGATGCAGGGAGGCAATGTTTGCAGACCCACTGCCCATCGGGGGAATGAAGACAGTACCGTTGGAGCCGAGCAAGGCCAGAGGGGACCAATGGTCCGGGATGGGGTTACAGAAGTCCAAACACCCTCCCCCATGGGTTCAGCATCTCAGGTTGACTTCATTCTCAAGAAGACTGGGGATGCAACAGTGGGAAGTGGACAGGTTTTTGAGGACGGTGCAGGTCTTGGAAGACAATCTGGCAATCTTAACCCTGGTGGCATCCATACTGCACCAATGCCATCAACGTGTACCCCGTCAGTTGAAAGTAATACTCGCCAGCGCAACAGGCAGGAGGTTGAGGATATGGGAATCTTACTTGGAGGTGTGGCAAAGTTGCCGCGAGCTTCGAAGCCTGCCCCGCTTGCAGGGTGTAACCCACCGATGAGCATTTCAAGTAGCCAAAGAACAACTGGGCCAGGGAAGTCATTCGATCCTCGTAGTCATGATGGGACGAAAAGGAAAGACGTCTCTGGCCAGGGTAGCTCAAAGAACCCGCCCGGGGTCAATGTGGGAGCACGTGTTCAAGGTTCTTCTATGCCCACATCTGTTTGCACTGGTGTGAATGGGCCGGGTGGACCCAATGTGCAGTCAGGCACGGCAATTGCGGGGGGATCATCGGCCGCAGCGGGAGCAAGGGGCAGTGATAGATCTGTCGACGGTATGATAGGCTTAGAGAGGCAGAAGAACCCAGGGACAAGCCAGCGATCTGCAGAGCCCAGAGGGGCTGGAACCAATGTGACATCTTCTCGATTGCAACCAGGGTCGGCACAGGGCAGCAATGCGGCCGCTCCTTCAAAGCCAGTTCCGAAAGAGGTCCTGGAGCGCAGGAAAAAAATGCAGCAGTGGTGTGAGAAAGTGAAACAAACGACTCAGCAACGACAGCAAGTGGACCAGACTCTGTTAAGAGAGGGTCGGCGCGGAATTCCACAGGTAGGTAAGCAGCAGCATCCACAGTCAAGGCGAGCCCAGGCTGAAGGTGTTTCCTCGATGGCCAACAGACCACATCCGATGCATGCCACAGCAAACGCTGTTGGCGCCACAAGACCTGCAGGGAATCAAGCTCCTCGTCCTTCGGGGCAACATAGGCCACCATCTTAATTAATTGACAGGGCCTTCTGGTGAATGTATAGCCAGGCCCTTCAAGGAAATGTGTGCCCAGCCAGCCATCCTCTCACTCTACACACTCTGTGAACCTGTGCTCTCCAACAAGTAGATGGTGTGGACACTGGTAGTCCCAACTAGGAGCGAAAACCACCCAGCCATCCTCTCACTCTGCACACTGTGTGAACCTGTGTGAACCGACGGAAGAGACGGTGTCGACACTGGTAATCCCAACTAGGAGTGCAAACCAGCCAGCCATCATATCACTGTGCCCACTCTGTGAACCTGTGCTCTCCGACGAAGGAGATGGTTTGGACACTGGTAATCCCAACGAGGAGCGCAAAACCAGTGTTTCGCCACCGGGGCCCTGCAACGCTTCTCTACAGTGAGTCTTCTAGCAGGTATTTCTCAAGAAGAGATGCCGGTCCAAGGGTGTGTTTGAATGTAACTGTAATATAAGAAGATTCCTTGTGCAGAAGCTAACCAATGCCCCATTGGAACTACCTACCTCTCCCAGAATCCTCCAGCTTTCCCCCAACATGATCTGGTCTAGAATCTGAATTCAATCCAAGAAGTATGTTAAAATATCCTGTTTGCTGATCTGGAGGGCATGAGTTTCTGAGAAAACTGAACTTGGCTGGTTGTACCGTTTTCAGTGGCTGTAAGGAAACATCAAGGCATCTTTACAGACGTGTAGGCATGTTTATGTCTCATACTCTCAAGACTTGTGATTGATTAAAGTTGATTTCGATCATTGTTTGCCACTCACGTGGCTGTGTATCATATCGTTGTTGTTGTTTTTTTGTATCATATCAGTTCTCCCTGAACAGGGGATTTTGTTCTCTTTGTGGTCGGTCTTAATCACGTTAATGGCGGAAGAGCATTCTTGTTGTTGACAATCTCTGAAGCCTAGATGTGCAATGTGCATGGAGTCTTTCTTTCTTGTTCTCCTTTGTCTTTTTCGCGTTTAGGGTTTGGTTCTTGTAATGTACACATCTTGTGGGAGACGATTGGAGTATTGTGTATTGTACTACTGTTGGAGTATTGTGTGTTTTTCTCAGGTGGAGTTTGCTGCTTGTAATGTACACATCTTGTGGGAGAGAATTGAAGTACTGTGTGTTTTATGTCTTCCTGCTATTTTTCTTTTTTTTTTTTTTCTTTTTTTCTTTTTTTCTTTTTGTTTGTTGATGCTTTCTTGTTTCTCCTTCGTTTTTTTTTCCTTTCCGGTGGGGTTCGGTTCTTGTAACTGCCCTGTCTATCAATACCAGGCACCCTGAAGGGCCTGAGAAGTTCCTCTTCCTCCTCCTCCTCCTCTTCCTCTTCCTCTTCCTCTTCTTCTTCTTCTTCTTCTTCTTCTTCTTCTTCTTCTCCTCTTCCTCCTCCTCCCTCTGCCTCTGCCTCGCCTCCTCCTCCTCCTCCTCCTCCCCCCCCCTCTGCCTCTGCCTCTGCCTCTCCTGTTCGGAAAGAAACTGTAATGAACCCAATGTCCTTGAGAAGCCCAGTAAGCAATGTCACACATATGATAAACCAACGCTCAAGCTGTGGTCTGCAGAGATGTTTGCAAGTCCAATACTTAAGTGGTTACACATTTCAGAGGCAGCGAAGCATCAGAAAAAGACGTGCGCTCGCGCGCACGCGAGAGAGAGAGAGAGAGAGAAAGGTATAGAGGGAGAGCAGAGTTACACTAATAATCAATCATACAAGTATGTCGCTCTTCAACACCCTCTTCTCCTTCAGGTATCTTCCCTCCAAGCCTCCTCATCAATCTGACGATCACTGACGTAGTCCTTGTGCAGATTCCAGCAAGGTGCCCAACCTCCTTATCATAGCCCGGCCATCGAGGTTGGCACTGTTCTTCTTCAACCTCATGGAGACCAGCAGCAGCTTCAATCACATCATCACCAGGTAGGTTTCAAGTAAACTTTCAACACACAGTGCTGTCAGTCCCACATGTGTTATGTACCCGATTGAATTTCTTCAATCCACAGTGATTTCACACGCCCCCATACACGCATGCAATTGCAGAGTAGACACGAAGGAGGCAAATGCACACCAAACCAGATAGAGATATGCACAGCAGAAGCTCAACACACAAGTAGGGTTGAATATGAAATTCAATTCTGATTTATCACTCGTCCTCTTCCAATCAATCCAGAGCATACTTGCGGCGCACCGGCACTGTGTGCTGCGTGGTGCGCTGCGCAGTGCGCTGTGCGCGGACCCAGGGTGCGCGCGCACCGGCGCGCGCCGCACATCTGGGTGCGCAGTGCGCGCTGCGTGGTGCACTGCGCACGTCTGGTGTGCTGCGCGCATGTGCGCAATGTATATTTCCATGTT